ATACCAACAATGAACACAGCGAGAGAATGTGTCACTTATATCCTGTTGACAGTTCGAGCCAAGGTTGATAGTGCAGTGGATGCTATGTGTGGCCTTGGGCTTAAGGCAGGTGCCGTGTCCAGCGTTATCACCAGCTTCGAGACAGTTGTCACGGGACCCTAACCCGAGACGTGATTGGCCTCAAACACGCATAGCGCCTACTCTGCTGTCACTACCGAGTGAACAGGACAGCTCCATGAAGGCCCCCCAGCTTTTGGACTTTTTTCTAAAGCTGCACTTCCCAGAAGTGACCCAAAACGAGGGAGGTTTGAAGTAATCATATTTTACGCCTTGTAGCCCACATTATAATTTAAAATGAATAATTAATGGCGAATACTTTTCTTTTGCGCAGGATGTCCAAAAGCAAACAAATAAATAAATAAATAAATAAATATATATATATATATATGTGTCTTTTTTTTTACCAAGCACTTTTGAATTATGTGTACACTGTTAGGTTCGCATTTTTAAACTTAAATTTTGGGAATCTTTGCATCGTTGTGGCATCTATGATTGCGTGGTTTAAGAAATTTGTGTAATACGTTTTTTATCCGTGAGTTCAGTCTATATCACTGCCATCAATTACAATCTCTGAGCACCATGATGACACGTGGTGGGGATGTGTGCTCCAAGAAGCTCTAACGACTTTAATGTCTCATAATTTAAAGAAAAAGAAGAGAAATTAGCCACAGCGCTTGCTGATTTGTTGAATTCGCAGAACAGAGAGATAATAGGACGCACCTAGGGTAGCGCGTGCCTAATGATATTAATTTTTTTTCGGCTGTTATTTGTGTATATTTCGCCGTTCTCGACATGGGCGTTGACGGAGATTGCACCGCTGCTCACGCCCCTGCCGGGGTAAGCTTTTTTGTTGTCACGACACTCTATCCCGCTATAGACGCGTCGATTTAACGCTCATGAAGTCTCGAGAGAACTGTCAATTGTTTAGTCAGAGCAACGACGCAGCAATCGCGAAGTGAGAGACGACTGCGCCTCACTCTGATAAAATGTGAGCGTGGGACTCTCGAGCAGCGTTAACTTGCTGATGATGCAGGGCGCTGCTTTGTCGTTGAGAATCTTTGTCCTGCGAACGCCGGCGAAAACGTTCCAGTGCTCGGCGTACCCTAGGCAGCAGCGCCTGTCAGCGACCGCCCGGAGCCTACTGGCAGTCTGCGAGCGCCGACGATTTATCGTCGAGACTTCAATGGGAGCATTTTATGAACTCCTGCGGCGAACATGAAACACCGCGAACATGAACTTCCGCGAACATAACCCCCGCGACGGCGAACCGCCGGGGCTCGCAGACGGAGGGTTCCGATGCTGTGCGAACGGTTGTTGGAGGACACTGCGTAGGGTATACGCCGGGCGCTGGAACGGCTTCGAAGCCATTCGATGGGCAAAGGATTCGCGACGACCAAGTAGTGTCTTGCATCTTCAGTAAGCTAACAGGGCTCGAGAGTCCCAAGCTTACATTTCCACAGAGCGAGCGCGGCCGGCCAGATCGAGGCGCAGTCAGCACTCGCGTCGCGATTGCTACGTCGTTGCTCTACCTACACCGATGACATGTGCACCGGCATTCGAAACCGCCCTCTCGAGACTTTATACGAGTCCAATGGACGGCTTTATAGCGCGATAAACCGTCGTGGCAAGAGTAAAGCTCACCTCTGTAGTGGCGTAAGCAGCGTTCTTGACGCCGCGTCAAGAACGACGAAATATACACAAAAAACATTAAATATATTTAACACAGCAGGCAGAAAGAAATAAAAACATGGCAGGGATATGGACAAAGTAGAAGGCGCGCTATGAAATACATATACTTACAAAATACACTGGAAACGACAGATAATTAGAGCTAAAAAACGGAAGATTGAGATGACGTCAACGCCGAAATAAGGCAATGTGCAGGGAAAGCAGCCGGCAAAACTGCAATAGTCCTATAGGCAGCTAAGGAAGCTTTTCTGATCGCGGGCGTATAGCCGCGGCGACGTACGCCCCGTTAATTTGGCTGAAAAAAATTCTCGCCCCGATCGAGCGCATGAATGACTCTCTTCCACTTTCGTACATCTGCAGTAAAAATAAAAAAAAAAAGGGTCGCGGACCTATAGTTTAAGCAAACCATTGAGCCGACTAAAAAAATTGGATGGTCGCGAGTCTATAGCTCGGGAAACATACATCCCTCTATAGCCGGCTAAAGCACATTGTAAGGTCGGAGGCTATAGCTTTGGTGACATAGAACACTATTGAGACGGCTAAAGAAAATTCAATGGTCGCGATTCTATAGATTTAGGGACATACACCACTCTATAGTCGGCTAAAGCACGTTGAATGGTCGGAGGCCTATAGCTTAGGTGACATAAAACACTATAGAGACGGCTAAAGAAAGTTCGATGGTCGCGAGTCTATAGGTTTAGGGACATACACCACTCTATAGCCGGCTAAAGAACATTGAAAGGTCAGACGCCTATAGCTTCGGTGACATAAAATGCTATAGAGTCGGCTAAAGAAAATTCAATGGTTGCGATTCTATAGATTTAGGGACATACACCACTCTATAGCCGGGTAAAGCATATTCAATAGTCGCGAATCTATAGCATCAAGGACATACATATGTCTATAGCTTGCTAAAGAATATTGAATAGTCGCGAATCTATAGCTGCGTAGTCATAAATTATTCTATAGCCAGGTATAGAAATCGGAATGGTCGAGATTCTAAAGCTTTGAAGACATACATTTTTCTATAGGTGGCTATAGCGTGTTTTATGGTTTCTTATGGTTGACCATAGAGGGCCATAGAAGGTGATAGCTCACCATAGGATTTTCCATAGACGTCCATAGACCATTTTTGTATGGGAGTGTCCCGCTCAGGCACGTAGCCAAAGGGGGGGGGGGGGGGGCATGGGGCCCGGGCCCCCCTTGAAATCTTTCATTTTGCTGGGGCCTCCTCTCCCCCCTCCCCCTCATACAGAATTTCGCCATAAGCGCCCCCCCCCCCCTCCCCCCGAAACAAAATCCTGGCTACGTGCCGTGTTCACGTGTAGCAAGCATCAAGTTGCTCGCGATCGTTGCCCACCTATGCCTTATTACCAGACATGCACACGTTACCCAAGAAAAGTAACTAAATACCGTTACTCGTTACTCGCTCAAAAAGTAACTAAATACGTTACTCGTTGCCGATTTTCAAAAAGAACGCGTGAGTTGCCTGAAAAGTAACGACTTACTTTTCACGTTACTTTGACGACCAAATACACAACTGACACAACCCGTAAAAAATTATTATTTTTTCTTCGCGTAAAATCATTAAGCATCTTCCGGGCTGTTTATAACCAGATTTACGTTGAAAAACCACCCGTAGCCCCATAGACCCGCGGCAAAAGTTTGCATTTTATTGGCACCAATATACACGTACCCCGGTCTAGCGGTTGAACACACTCTTACTTGAGGCTCTCTAAGCTAGACTAAACGTATTCAAATAGAATGTTGCAGTTCTTCCTCACTAACCCTCCCCCTGCCTTAGTGCCGTGTCACGTGCGTCCAGATCAGCGAAATTTCTTGCGCCGTGCCCTAACTCCCTTGCCACCGACACTCCCCCCGGGGACCCCTGGGGTCACAAGGGAAAGGGGGGGGGGGGGGGGGATAGGACGAACCTGTTGCCCCCCCTCCCCCAACCCCCCTTCTTCCCTGGGAAATTGAAAACTCCCCTCCTATGAATGAGCGCTACGGTGGTAACACGTACCTCGGCACCATCGGCATGAGAAATAATATTTCATTGCACTTTTAATCAGGCCCCGAACGGTGCGAGGAAGTTGTTTTGTTATCGTCACTTCGTTCAGTGAAATATTTAGACAAAACTTAACAAGCAGATTTTGGTAGAACATAGAAGTGTAACATTGCAAGACATACTACGACTTTCATGAGTTTAGACTTTACCAGACGTTTCTTCGCAGAATGTCGCCGAAGAAATGTTTTTCCTAGCTTTAACAGTAAGGAGGTTGGTCTGTTTCTGACAACTTCTTTTGAAAAAGAAATGGGGTGTGTGTGTGTTTATACAGCCTAGAAATTGGTCTGGCTCAACGGGCGACGAGTCTCCCAGCTGTAGATGAGCAATTTAGCCAGTGCAGTACAACCGCTAGCCTGAGGTCTTTAACGTGCACCACGCAGTAGTGATACACTACCGCACGCCGGTACAATGCTCATTTAGATCGGGGATTGACAAAACTTATTTTGAATTACAAAACACTCAGTGTTGTTTTACAATTTCGGTAATAAATAGATCTGCCTTTATGCGTTTAAAAGCAATCCTTTACCAGAAGATTGAACTCAACCGTCAGACTAGTTGTTCACAGATTAACGAAAACAAAATCACAGCACAAAACAGACGGGCTCGTGAAAGGAAAAGACAGGTGAATAAAAAACTGCTTTCTGGAATTAATAAAATGCATATAAAATTCGGCTACTAAATTCAAGCACACACAAAGATCTAACTGAATTCGCAGTTTCGTCAAACACAAGTATGTCTTCGGGTGCACCGATTGTATTGAAAGCCAGCCGTGACAGTGGGCAGACGAAACAGACCACATACACGGAGCAGACCCCACCGAGCCGACCGAGCGGCGAGCGCGGGAGATGAGAACAGCGTTGGTGCGCAAGTCTACTCGGGATTGAGTTCTTTTTTTGACGTCGCGGAGCACGAAGTCATGCCAGCGGGTAAGATATCTCAACATCCTTGCAAGCGGGTAATTTTTTGCCAGACAAGCAGAAGATGAAGACACGCCCACCTAATCCCAAATACGGTGGGAAAGCTAGAGTTTTGTAACAGCAAACAACTAAGTGCTGCTTTTCAGAGCAAAAAAAGAAACAAAAAGGAAGACGTTGGAGTGGTCTGAAGCTTTACGCAATCTATGAAACGATATAAAACGAACGAATCAGCCCCTATTGCAACTACGTTCGAAAGTTCCTGAACAATGCTGGCCCTGAAACATTTGGTGTTCTCTCTAAGCATTTCTGCGGCGTGCGCCGAGGTAGAGTTTCAAAGTTGGGACAGACCACCGGACAACAATCCTGACCTGAACAGGAAGGACCTTGGAGCGATGCAAGATGCGTGGAAGGTATGATACTTTTTTCACCGGAGATATAATTTTTGCAAAGATATCGGTCATCTGCCTTTTTAGTGAAGCAATGGCTTTTTCCTCGTGAGATCCAATTTCGTTCAGTGAAGAGATGGCAGCCAGCGGACCTCGATAGTACATTAACGCGAATAGTGCCTCCTGCTGAATTTAACTCTATTTTTAATTTAAAAATTGCTGATAATTGCCCTAACATTTTAAATAAAACAACTGTTATTTTTTAATTTTTGATTTTATGTGTTGCGATACATTCCGGCAAGGTTTGAGCCTTCGGGGAATACGTCAAACGTTTTTTACAGTGTGGAAACAAAATTTTGACAGCGGCTGGTATATTGATTGGCCAGCTTAGCACGAAAATGAATTAATTATACAATAAAATGTACTGTCTATAATTATAGATGAGACACAGTCTGTATAAAGAATACTAAATAAAGCTAACAAAATGCTGCCATAGCTCTTCAGACTTTTTTGTTTAATAGCGCCATTTTTAGAAGCACGCACTTCGCTCTTTAAAGCCTCTTTAGTATATTATTCAGCTCTTTTCACATAGACTACGTATTTCCCACTTTTATTCTTCTGGAAAATTCATGAGTCGTGCAGGATATGGACGTAAGTGTAATATGCATTTTGACGACGTTCACACTCTATTATGAACGCAAGACGATTTTGTTTTATAGTTTTACGTTTAGCTTAGTTTTGAGTAGAATTGTCTTCAAATTATGGCTTGACCAGTGCATACCTAGCTTTACCATGGAACAGCGTTTACTTTACGGGAAGTGAATTACAAGTAAAATTAATAATTTTTCAGACAATCAAGTTCACGGCGAACAAGAGCTATTATCTAATGTATAGTAGCGGGTGGGGGACCAAAGAACATTACGATGATGTGAGGTGCCTCCAAGTGCATTCAAGTGACTTCAATAACACATTAAAGAGTGCCAAATACACATCCAAATGGTACAACATAACGTCTAAACAAATGTAGGTATTTTCATTGCTTCATAATGTCCTCAACATAAACGTTCTATATTCAATATCCAACCATTTATACCAGCTATTTAGTGTCCGCTGATGAGGTGTGTTTCTTTTTGAGAAATCAACAAGTGTTCATTTATACGTTTTGCTGAAGTACGATCACGTTGTTCAATAAGTTTATTTTTCAGTCAATAATTTGTGTGTTTACTTTTTCGAACTACATACCAAGCCTTGAAAGTTGGATGACCAATTTTCAAAGGTTTCAAGGCTTGTATATATGGTGGGCAAAAAGCCTCCGATATTTAAGAGAGGACCAATATAATGTTAGAATGTTGACATCTTCCGAGTTCTGCTTATGCTGAGGTGCACGGCATAAATGGGTGTACCGTTGTAAATATACACGAAAAAATGCAGTTGGACAATGACGTAGAGGCTGGGAGTGCAAATACAACTTTATTTTACGGAAACAGATTGAAGAATCATGTAAAGGAATATTCACAAAAGAGAGAAATTCCTTCCTTTGTACCCCGGAATGCGCATCACGTGGTAAAAACGTCAAGCTTTTGCGCGGAGCCGCGCTGACGTAGACATACCCAACCAGGGCGATGAGGGAAATTTTGCTCGGGCTGCACAAACGCTCTCCACCTTGGCGTTGGATCTCTTTGCAATTGGCGGTATCTTGTTCGCGTGTCTAGAAAACTTTACAGATTTTGTTTTGGGAGATACCGGCTGTGGCACCGGGACCGCGTAACCTATTGTGGCTTTGGTTGTTGCACATGCCGTTGAGGCAAAATCGATATTCATTAATGCCTTCCTCAAGCCGCTCCTCAATCAACTGTTTTCTTTGATTCCACATTCTTTGTGTTGCATTTACCCACACAAGGAGCAACGTTTCAGGCGAAAGCCTTAGAGTGTTTCAATTACTTATCCATTTACTTGGTGTCGTCCTTGCGGTCGTCCTAGGAGTCGTCCTAGACCTCTAGGACGACATCACCTGTGATTTTTTCAGCAAAAAGCAGTTCGTCATCTTCTGCATCTAACAGCACTGCTGCCATAATCGGATATGACCGTTTCATGTAGGCATCCACTTTTTCACTTTCGTCAAGAAGCACCGAGCCCTGTTGTCGAGAGGGCGACCGCTAAATGCGCCTAATGACGCTGACATCCCCTCTGCCCCCCGCCGTCTGTGTGAATGCTGGGATCGGGGAGGGGGTCTCGCTGGGTCCACCGGTCTCTGACGTCACGCACTCCCTCCTTGAAAACATCCCCCGCGTAAACTTCACTTAAAAAACACCGCCTAAAAAAACAAAAACAACAAACGTGTGTTCTTGTAAGCCGAAGACAGTATGGCTGCTTCGCAAATTGTGCCGACTCTAGCTGAGAAGATATGTTCACATCAAAGCTATATCATATAAAATCTTCGGATGATTTTTTATAATCTGATGTGCTATTTAAAGATAAAATAATCGAAATACGCAGATAATGGCACGACATAAACCCTGGGACTGCGGGTAAATACAATATTTTAGCGTTTGTGTCGTTTTTACCTGCAGTCTCGGGGTTTATGTTATGTTTGATTTAAACCAACTCGTTTACATTCACTTCATTAATATGCCCAGCAATCACTCGTACAAAATAATTTACAAGTAAGGTTATTTCATCTGCATGCATTCGATAATTTACTACTTAGAGACCACGTAGGAAGATGAAGATGGCCGGGATATATTCAAACGTAGCTCTTGACGGCCGTAGATTATAATATCGTATTTTTAAAGCTTATGCAAAACAAGAAAAGGTGCATGTACACGTGGCAGGAGAAATGCTGTGAGAACCGCTCGAGCACGCCGAGCGCGTACCAGGTTCCAGTAATTTTCGTACCGCGTTCGCGCGGCGTTATATCCCTCCAGATGACCTTTAATTGGGTATACATCGCGTTCGGGGCATTCATTAAGGATCAAGTGCCCGTGTCTAGTTTATTTGAATGCTATTCTGTCTTTCAAATACAGCATGCCTTTTTTTATTGACGAAGAGCAATTCTATTGCAAGGTTTCACTTAATTGGCCTACATACTAGTAAAAATAATATCTTCAGAATTGTTTTTTTCCTGGCCGTAATTTAGCACACACAAGGAAGGAATAAAGTTATCGGCCTACTTATAGCTTCCTTTTACATAATTCTAAAATGCGCGAACTATTAAATAATTTTGTTTATTCCAGATACATGTTCGTACACACGCACAAAAAAGTAAAATCTTTCGTATATCGCCGAAATTATTTCAGCAATTCTGAGGGTATGCAAACTGCTAAATGATATCGTGACGTTTACTTTTAGATACCCTTAATATTTTTGAATTTTGAGTTTTAGATAGACTAAATACACAATGACAAAAGTTATGTCATTGTGTTTTCTTTAATGTGTCAAAGGTAATGTGTAAACAATACTTAATCCACCTTATTATTCTGCCTTAAATATATACCAAGCGTCTAATTGTAAACAAGATATTTACAAATATTTATTTTTCACATCTTGTGCGACAGGGAATCAAGTACGCAGTATGTTCAAGCTGTGCAACAAAAAGATTATAGTATTGAAAATATTATGCATCTTGGTACGTATGTTATAATTTTGTTTTATAGTAATGGCGCTGACATCGTCATCTCCCGACTACTGGCTAGCGTCGTGCGCGAATGAGTGGTTGACGGGGTGCGCACCATGAGCGCAGTAGCTGTTTCTAAATTTACTATTTACCGGTTTATTGCTATAGGTTGCCAACGAGCCCTCCGCCGACTAAGAATGCTGGTCTTGAATTTTCATGAGCTTGACATTGATTTAGTTCACCCCTCACATATGTTTGATGCTATAGTGTTATGTTTGTTTACGCCAGTGTTATGTTTTTTCCAATAACTCCTGTGGATGCAGACGGTTTAATATTAGTTTAGATAATCACCATTGAACTATATCATATCCAATGTGTAACTCTACAGATAAACCAGTACAAACTTACCAGGAATACGAGGTCGTTGATGGTATGCAAGTCCCTCACACCACAGACCACTAAAATTTCGCCATTCAAACTATCATTGTGGTTTGATGTGTAACCTTTTTTTTCCTCATGTGTACGAGTAAATAGACGTTTTTCACATGTACGTGGAGCCACTGAATGACCCCAAACTACCTAATCTTCCATGTTTTCTTTATACGGAATAACGTCGCAGTACCGCAGTCGAGGGCAATGCAATGGCCACCGTCTGCTCTCAAAATGACCCTTAATTTCTACTGTCTAGATTATTTTTTTCGCGCGCGCTTGATGTGCGCTCTGCGGCGCTGGTCTGTTTTAATTACAGTTCCTTTCAATCACTGCAAGCGATTGCTGGACTTAGGTTTCGTGCTCGGTCTCTCTCGCTCTCCTGCTTTAAGACTCCCCTAACTCAAAGCCAAAGCCTAGCGCATGAGGAGTAGCTTTTGACAAGCGCGGGCAAGTTGGTGCTCCTGCCTTTGGAACGTACCGTTCCTGAGGGAGCGCTCGTTCTGCGAGAGCATATGTTTTGAAAGCGCGATCTCGTGTTACCCTGTAAGTTTAATAGTAAGCGGATTATAGATTAGTGTTTACTTCTGCAAGATGTTTTTTTTTTTTAATTTAGTCCAATTTTTTATGTAGCTCGTGTATAGGGTATAGGGAACGAAATATATAAATTATAATAACTTGGAGTAAGCTGAGAAATTTGAAGGGAGTAGAAGAAAACTGGCCGCGACCTTTACTTTCAAACTCCTCTGTTGCACGAAATTATGTTTTTAGGAGCGGTTATTTCAATCGCTTGAAAGTCGTTAAACAGTCGCTACGATAACGAAGGACCTCCTTTTAATATTTTATCAATATATGTTACGTAACGTTAATTTTTGCTGCTAAATTTAGCGTGGAAACTTAATGGGTGTATAGCTTACGTGCCGTCAATTCCCTCAAGGTGTATAGGTCACGTGACGTGACGTCACGCTCGTTTCCCCACTAAATTTAGCGCAAAATGCACGGACGGACGGATGGACGGACGGATGGACGGACGGGCACAAATTTGGGATTGGGGGTAGCGTTAAAAAACGTTGCATGCTTTAAAGACGAGTGGTAGTAGCTTTGAACGGCCAACAACTTCCAGTGGCGGGGTGGGACCAGGATGCCCCTACAAGGAGCCACGCCATTCAACGCAGTGACAGGCTGACAGCTGTGTAAAAATGGTGTATAGAACAGCGTTTTTTTTTGTCGTCTTTATTCGGGTCGTGAACATGTACAATTTCTGCCACAAACGTCCACGTACCTGGAAGCTCAATGGCGCCTTCACGTCTGGTTAAGCGGTGCATTGAGAGGTCGTATTTTGTGGACATTAGGTGGCCTTAGCCTAAATGATGAGTGTAACAGAACCTTTTCAAAAGTTCATCGAGCAACATCGGCTCTCGCCTTTCTCAAAGGTCATCCTGGTGATATCCGATACCACCTGGTGATAGTTACGAAATTGCAGGGGGGTAAACAATGTGGCGAAGGAAAGAAATCATACTTTTTTTTAATTTCTAGGCTAGGTAGCGCAGACTACCGCCCGTTATAAAAAGGTACAGCCGTTCCACCCATCATTCATGGGGCACGAAACGTGGGATTGAATCCGTGCCCTCGCTGAACGCTAAAGCAGTAGTCGTGGCTAGTACACGGTCAGAGGACGTGCACAAACAGCGGCGTGCTCCGATCATTGAGCCTGCAGCTATTAGGTGTGCATACGTTTAAAAAAAGTTCTATTAGCGTTGGTACACACTTACTTTTTTTTTCTTTACTTGTTTTGTCTAGTTGCTGAAGCCGTTTATTGTTCACTTCAATTAGTGCTGCTTGTGACATTTTTGTTTATTTTTCCTTTGTGTTACTTCTGGCGTTGATGACGCACGCCTGGTCCCGCTTAAAACCCGACCCGTGCTTGTTGAGTCCAGTTCACAATATACCACTTGATTAAACGAGAAACTAACTTTTCTCCCATCCTTTCCTCCTAAGGTGAGCCTCAACGTAAAGCCACATCAACGAATGGTACCTGCTACAATCTCAATTTCAACTTCCTCTGTGAATCAGGCGGCTGCCGCATACCTCATCAGGAATGTTGGCGACCACGCTGGACTAAATATTCAGAAAAATACGTGTTATTCAGCACTCCCTTGTGCTACATAGTGAGATCCCTACAAGATGAGGAGGACTATGAATGTGGGTATAATGAAGTGATTTCACCAACTGCGGCAACTTCTAAAAACATTCTCCAGGCACAAAAAAGAAAGTGAATGAATTCAAAATTATGCAAGATGTTTAAAGTAGTTTCGCCCTTATTAGAAACGCCATTATTTTTTGAGTGACGTGATGTCAAGGAACCAACAACTACGCGTTCAATGAGTGCAGAACTGTTCCAAAAGTCGGGAGAAATCGTGGTTAGAACGTTTACTCCGACATCACTCAACATGTGATATTACGAAAATGTAGGTGTGACACCACCTATGCAGGACGCCGCATGTTGAGTAAAAACTGGCACGAATGAGGCGAGAGCCAGCCTTATTGAAACAAACTCTTCCATGCAAGCTAAAGGCTATAGACCTTTCCAGCGCTTATCATACAGACTAAAAATGCCGAGTCATTTGGATGTGGACGCATGCGCGCTGCCTGATATTCCACAGAAGAAAGCAACTTTGTATGCTCAGAAGGCGTTTCACAGCCCAGTAGACAACGAAGGACCCGCGCAGAAGGTGATCATTGGAAGGATCTTTGCGGAGAGCAAGTCTTAGTAAACAGGATAACCGGGCGAGTTGGTAGGGATTCATAATGAAACAGCGCGAATTTTCGCAAGGACAGAGGAAGGAACTGGACAGGACGAGCGCTGACTAACAACTGAAAGGTTTATTCTCAGGAAACCTCGAAGAAAATCATACGAAAACACAACTCTCTAATCACGATGGAAATGCGCATGCGCCTCACAAAATTGGGTGCTATCAGTTACACAATGTTATATGATTGGGGATGACGCATATAACATTGTGTAACTGATAGCACCCGATTTTGTGAGGCGCATGCGCATTTCCATCGTGATTAGAGAGTTGTGTTTTCGTATGATTTTCTTCGAGGTTTCCTGAGAATAAACCTTTCAGTTGTTAGTCAGCGCTCGTCCTGTCCAGTTCCTTCCTCTGTCCTTGCGAAAATTCGCGCTGTTCCACTATGAGAGCAAGTCGTCTACTTCTTGCGCGGGAGTTGCGGTGACGTCAGTACAACGCCGAGCTCTGATTGGCTCTGATTGAAAGAATAGTGGATGGACCTCACTCAATGCTAGATGCCTTAAGGTCTACCCACTATTTCTTTGAATCAGCCAATTAGGCCTCGGCCTTCGGACATAATCGCAAACCCTGTGCAAATACCAGACGAACTTGCAAGTTCGTCTGCTCTTTGCAGTCCTATGAGGAGCGCATACATGCACTCCTCGCACTCCTCATGGGACGGGTTGTTGTCGGGGTGGCAGGCAGGATTTCGCAGTACCGCGAGGTTGACGCGATGCGTAAACTGATAGGACTCCTTTTGTACTGTAACCAAAGTCTGGAGCGGTCCACGTGAGATCAACGGTTCGTGAATATACTCAAGCATTCCACCAGGTAAAGCAAACAGTAATAAAGTGGTGGGTGTTGAATTAAATTGCATAGGCTCAAAGACACTGCTAACTCAGCCAAAAGACTGGCGAAGAATTGCAGTCATAACGCTAGTGTGGCTACATTGTTCGTGCAATGCTAATATTAAAAACATTCTCAGTACTGTTCTTATTTTTTATACTATAACAGAACAAAAAAATAAATGAAGTACAAAGTCAAGGTAGCAATAGGCCGAAAAAAACAATAGTTTATGCAATTTGGAAATAAATATCCAGGTTGAAATTCTAACGGTCATGAGCTTTGAGAACTGAATTCGGTGCCACCCGGTTACAGAAAATATTCGAGGCTTCTGTTCGAAAACAGGATAAAAAAAATAAAGCATACGATTGAAATGATAGAATGCAACGTCCTTAATGCCAGGGTAAAACATTTGCACTGTAGGAGACCAGCGCTCCAGTCGAGTGTGCTAATGTGTATTCCGATTTTAGTATTTTATTTCTACCTAGGCAAAAGGCCACGGATGAAAAATTAGACTTTGGTTTTCCTTACATTATATCTAACTCATTATCTTCGCTCTGCTTGCAAAAAACCTATTCAAGTTGGAGAGTTAAACACCTTATTGAATGTTGATTGGGGGAACAACCGGGCCGACATCTCGCTCAATCTTTGTTTGGATTTAATTCGCTTGGATTATAAAAAAAAAAAAACAAGAACACTGGTGATATAGTGATGGTGATATAACACTGGTGATATATTGCAAAAACTCGCACCGAAATGAAACTCGCACTGATGAACAAAAAGGTTAAACTCAAAGAAAAATTAATAGAAGTGCTCAGTGCCATACTTTTGAAAGAATATTTAACTATTACACCGTGTTTTTTTTAAATTTGAATCCCATTTTAATTTTGTTCATGTGCAAACTTTAAAAGGAGTTCCTTCGTTCTTTATTTATTGAACATTTTCAGGTTAAGCAAACTTATAATTATATTTACTGCGCTCAAACATTTGTTTTAAATAGTTATACAGAGCGAACTGTAATTTACTAAAATGCCCGGCATGCCCTTTCTCACATGATATCGCTCTTTTTTTCAGCTTGTGAATTCTGGCTGAGTGAAGATTGGTTGAAGGAAAATCTGACGATTCCTCAAGTCGTTACAATCGTAAAAGAAGAAGAAAGCGAGGAAAACGAGGAAAGCGGGGAAAACGAGCAAAGAAAGGAAAGCGAGGAAAGAAAGGAAAGCGTACAATGCGAGGAGGAGCCTCGCAATGTGAATAAAACTACATACTTGTATGATTACTTATTTAAGGCACTTCCGTCCAGCTGTCGATACGCATTTCTCCTCAGCTGCGGATATCCGAAATACCGAATTTATGACAAGGAAGACTGCGACAAGATAAATGAAACAGAAAATGCTGCCTCACGCGGCACAAATGGAAGATATTAGCAGAATCAATTCTGCAAATACGCTTCCCGCCTTTGTATTGGACCCCGTACTCCAACCATCAACATCGTGTCTTTCGAGGTTGTTTTTGGTTTCTCCACGAATGTGAACCAGTACAGTATCTAAGACAGTCATTTAAACACTGCGGTTGATTTCGGAGAAGTGCAGAAAGCAGCAGGACTTCGTGCTGTGTGAAAGCTCGAGAAAAAATCTTGCACACTGTAGTGCGGGGAAAAAAAAGAAAAAAAAAAAGAAGACTAGTGATAAAAAAGCAAACTTTAGCGACGAGTACCAAAGATAAACTTGGTGTTGGTTTTATAGCAATAAAAGTGTATGAAAGCCTTGAAGCATATTGTTTTCATTTCCATTTGTTATTTAAAATCGTTGCTGTGAATAAAACACATGGCCTGAGATTCTGCAGTGCTTAGCGACCGATTACACTCTCAGAAAAAGAGGGTATAGTCTTACACCCCTTGTTCCGTATAATACACCCCAACAATTCAGTTCGACGTACAACTTTCACGAGCGGCTTGATGGGCGGGGGGTACAGCTTATTAACATAGCTAATGTACGTGTTACTTCCTGACCAAAAGAAAATTAATCGGGGTTCTTTTGGCCCTAATCCAAAGCCACAGTGTTTTTTTTCCTCTAGTCTTTGATGCGCGCTTTAGCTAATTAATAAGTTATAGCGCATCTTTATCAAGCCCCTCGTAAAAGTTGGGACCACCAGCTCGACGTCAGTGCGCTGTACGTCTAACTGAAATGTTGCCGCTGGTTAAACTGCGACGAAGCCTATAGAGGGTATCTGGGCGTCAAATGTTCGCACATTTTCATTCAATATAATGGTTATGCTGAGCACGTCGCCATTTCCGTTCAGCTGTAACCTCGTCAGACCACTTGTTTCTCTCGCGAGGCGTTGTAAAGGCTGCGGCCCATACAGCGAGCGCCTCGTCTCGCAACCTGTCTATGCAAGCGATATGGAGGTAAAAAGGGACACAAAAAATATCGCTTCCTAAGTTTACCTCTTGGCTCACGAAACATTTACAGGATCTCTTATGTTATCTCTAAGACGACCTGAAGGCGAAAGCCCAAGCGCCGATGTAAACGTGATAGCGAACCTTCGAAGACAGCGTGCACTCTGACGACGCAATTTTGGCGTCGTTTCATTGGCTCACTCGGATCGTGGTGTCGGCTGTGGTCCCGGTGATAGCAAACCTCCGAAGGCAACGCGCTCTCTGACGACCTACTTTTAGCGCCGTTTCATTGGCTCACTCGGATCGTGGCGACGGCTGTGTGACGCCACGATCCAAGTGTTTGGGCAGCCCATGTGAAACCCCCCGACTCGCGGGGGATTCACAGGCTGCCCAAATCGGGCAGCCTGTGTGGGCTGCCCAAATCGGGCATGCACACGCTTTGCCACGGTGCAGTCCACATCCTTGCTAACTTGGCCCACATAGAGCCCAGTAGGACCCACGGGGGTTTTAGACGGGCATCCCAAGTCGGGCACGCCCACGCTTTGCAACCGTGGAGCTCGCACAATTGCTACCATGGCCCACGCAAAGCCGAGGTGGGACCCACGGGGGTTTCACAAGGGCAGCCTAACTCGGACACGACCACGTTTAGCCGCCGTGCATCCCACATCATCGTATTTTTTCCTCGTAGAGCCGAGGTAGGTCCCACGGGGGTTCCACACGGGGAGCTCAAGTCGGGCATGCCCACGCTTTGCCCGTATCTTCGCTAACTCTGCCCCCGCATTGCAGAGGTGGGGCCGACGGAGGTATTGCAGGGGCAGCCCAAGTTGGGCATTCCCATACTTTGCTCCCCTGAAGCCCACATCTGCGCTAACTTTGCCCCCGCATAGCCGAAGTGGGATTCACTCCTGTATTGCATGGGCAGCCCATGTTGGGCATGCCCCCGCGGTGTTCTACTTTTCCCTCGCATATTCGAGGTGGGACTCACGGCGGAACTCCTTGTGCCGGCCATATTGGGCATGTCCACACTGCGCCCACGTGAGGCCAACGTGCGTTTCGTAGAGGCTGCCCGAGCCCCCATTGCTCACGTGGGCCCCAACATGAGCCCCACCCCTTTGGCTACCTATCAAAGAAAAGGCAGAGTTTTTTTGTATTTTTTTAATTTATTTACAATATTTATGGACTAATAAAATCATTCAATCGCATTCCAATGTCATTCGTAGTTCCTAGAAATGTAGCGTTCTTTCAATTGTTGATTTGGCAAAATTGAAGATAAAAACCGGTTTTTACTGGGAAGCCAAACCATGGCTGTGAGTCTGTGACCGTAAGTTTGGATGAAGAACATGCACCTCGACGAAACGTTTTTCGTTTGTTTCAAAGGAAAGTTAAAGTATATGTAGGACGCTCTGAATGTCGTTACCCTTCTTTATATGGACACAAACAGTCACCTAGAGCAATTCAAGTGCACGGGGCTCTTTGAATGTTACTTCTATTGTTTGAGAGCTCTCTCACTATAGAAAACATTCAAAGTGTCATGTGAAGCTCAAGGTTGTTTGTATTTACTTCATAACAGGTTGATACAACAAAGAAATGTACGGTCCTATAAAGAAGAAAGAAAACATTGTTTCATAGGCGTGGCGCGTCGGGCTTATGGACCACAAATGTTATAACAGCCATCCGTATTGTGCGTGCGATACCCCAAGTTAGCCATACAGGCCTCGGAGGTCTTCCCTTTGCCAATGCTGTATATAATACCCGTAGCCTGATTATCTGCTACGGCTCTATGAGCATGAAATTTCGAAATTTCGTGGTTGCACTTGAAGTAGTCATTTTCCTTATGTTGAAGAATTCCGGGGCAAGTGACGGGACCCAAACGTCAGAGGAGACGATGTTAGTCAACGAGACGAGCACCCGCTCGTTCTTTTATGAAGCCGTAAATATCTTTGCGCGTCAAATCTTAAACTTTGAAAAGGGCTTTGAAGGTTTATCTGAAATCACAGGAAACGCTTTTGCGTACTCCACAAATGTTTAAACAGTTCGCGGCAAAGCGAAGCAGTATTACATGAGCTTCCTAACGCCAAATCTAATGCTGAGGAAGTCGCACGTTTCAGTCATGACGATCGGCAGTTACGTCTGCTCTGCACAAGCACCAAAATGGCGGCTCCCACAACAATGTCGGGGAACAGAGTGCCGCTACTCTAAGCACAGCTCATTTAGTGGTTCTAGACGGCACCATGCGCCGGCGCTTGCGGTTGTTCGAAATACCGCCCAGGCCCAGCCAACAAGCGCGTGCATGGGAACGGCGGGCGTCACATCACAGCTAGTGCCGTTGCCCTTGCTTTCCGCAATGACGGAGTGTAACTGTACGCTGGGCATAGCTTCAAGTTTGTTCACCCGAGGGAGGGGTGCGGGTGCGCTTTGTTTTTTCAGTAATCTTCGAAGGTTGTTTTGTAATGGCAAAAACACCGATGGGGTTAAGACCTCAACAGTCAACTTACCGGTGAGAGTGAACGGCTGCTCGCCGCTGCAAGTAATAGGCTTCGAGAAGTTCATTCTGGCTGGAAGCGAAGCTCATGGACGTTGTTATGGGGCTGGAAGAAAAGGCCAAACCCCGAAAGTTCGGTTTTGCATCGTCAAACTTGGTGCGCCGGTAGTTCGAAGTTTTTGGCAAAAGTAAAAAGTAAAAATTGGACTGAGGCGAATACCTATTTAAAGAAATGATGATACCAACATTTCGAAGCTTTCTTGTCTTTTATATATATATATATATATATATATATATATATATATATATATATATATATATATATATATATATTTTTTTTTTTTACGAAACTATATTACCACAGTTATTCTGGGACTTACATTTTCACAGCAACTGGAAGTTTTAGTTTACTATGCTCTTTGACTCTAACGCTTGCGCGAACGTTTCCGCATCATAAACAATAGGAAGTGTATAAGCATAAAACGTATACCAGGGTGACCGTTGGGAAGATGTGCCTTGCTTACATAGAACGACTCATTCTAAACAGCACAATAAAGGCGAATTCACACCAGAGCTCAGCTGCGTTTTCTAAGCAGTTGCGAAACCAGTTCGCGAGCAAGCCCATTCAGACTTACCAAGACCCTGTTGTCGGTTTTTCGGCGATCATGCATTATTTGACTTCCGCTTGGCAACCTTGTTTTACAATTGGAAATCCAGTTTAGTTTACCATCCAAAGCCCAACTTTAGCTGTTTTGGTACAAAAGGTTTTTTCTTTGTACTGTTCGCACGCATCGCGAGTTCAGGCAGCAGGAGAAGAAACATGAACGCTCGAAAGCACGCCGGCGATTCCCTGACGCTTAGTACGAGCTACCCGAGCTCGCCCACAAACAAAGCCCAGCTGGGCGGGCCCTGCTGAATCATGCATCCTCCTGGTTGAAAGAGGGGTTTCCAGGGCCTTTTTTTTATTTTTAAATTCCAAGCGGATACTGCCAGTATGAATAGCTGACATCGTTTTCGAGACAACAGGGCCAGTTTTTACCCCTTTCCGTTCACTTTTCCATTCTAAAAATAGTGAGCGGCATTTGGGTTGCCCTGAATGTGTACGGCGCTAGCCGGTCGTGGTTCGGTTGGTGGTGGACTCGCCTTTCGTCACACCTCGGTTGGGTCTGCGGATTGTTTGAGTATTAGGCGCGAATAAATTCCGGATGGATTACCTTTGCATCCTCTAGTACGTAAGCTTCATTTCATGAGTAGATGCCCTTTATTCCATTTGGTGGTAGAAATGTCAAAGGTCGAACTAGTCCAGATATATCTTGGGTGCGACGCCGGGTCCGCGGTAGTGATGGCTACGCAATTACGCTCACAACGCCTATATCGGTTTATTGGTCGTCATGTACGGTATTGATAGCTTTCAGAAGTTTACGTAACTGCCGAATTGGGTACAAACCCTGCGACTTCGGGCAATCGGAGGCGGGTTCTGATGCTCTAGGGCGAAGACGAGCGAGGCAGCGCAGAAACAGACTTAGGTACCTCGAAAAACAAACAAAGTAGCCTGCCAGAACCAAACCACCACAGCAAAGCAGGTTAAAATTACGAGTCTATTATTTCTGCAACGGATTCAAGTGACGGATTTGAACGTATCTGCTTAATTTCTGATTCGTTTGCGGCAACGC